GGCCATGTTTATTTTAATGAAGCCGGGGATATTTAAATCCCGGTTTCTTTGACTATGTCGGGTAGCCTAGTTTACATGCCTCTGTCGGCAGAGGCATGTAGTCTAGACATATCCTTACAGTTAAGCACGATACCTAAGTGTTTTCCTGAAAGGGGATGGATATAAGCATGTAAAATGGTTTCCTGAATGGAGCACCTACCCTTAGCATGCATGACATCCCCAGGGTCTTCACTAATTGGTGCAGCAGGGGCCATTGTGATTTGATTGGCGGCTACTGTTCCAGTGCTCCTGTTGCAAAGATACCAGGTAGCACTGGAATAAGACTCCATACTATTTAAAAGTCAAAGACACCAGATGGACTGCTACTGTAAGCCTTTTCATGGCCTATAGTGCAATCATTTTGCATTTCATTCAAACTACTTCCCACCCCACAGTCAACACCTCTTCAGGTTTCAACATAAATATTTTCTCTCTCTCATCCTCTCTGTACACACGTACACACACCTTTGTAGTCCGCACTAGGGTCCCTGTATCAGATGTAATCAAATGCTTACTAGAGGCCAATGTTCTTTACAAGTGTTCACTTACAAGTGTACAATATGTCCAGTGTTCACTTACAACAAGAAACAAGATGTGGCACAACAAAACACTCCAGTTCAGAACTCTTTAATACAAGCTTATATTGTTTGTGGTTTTGATTCTCTGTTCTCCCAGCATCAAGGGACATGAACCCTCTTAGATGTGTGAGCATGTGTATGAAGATATATACAAAATCACACAGTTAAATATTTAAGCATACAAGGTATTATATATTTTTATAATATAGAATTTTAAAGTATAGGAATCAACAATGGCAAAATATTTCTTATGTCTTTGACACAGCTTTTTTTTTGAAGTGACACGTGACCTGTATTTGAAAGACCAGAGGAATTTGTTTTGTTGTTTTTTTTTTAAAAAAAACCTGTATAAAGAAATTCTGTGGAAAAATGGTAAAAAAAAAAAAAAAAGCTCATGAACCAAAAAAAGGACAACTGTTAAAAACTGTATTGAAAAAAAAAGAAATAAATTAGATGAACAATTGTGTAAATATAAATTAAAAAAGGATGACAATCTTAATAAATAAGCTTTACTATTTACATCTTTATATATTGCTTGGAGACTTAAATTAGATCCGTTAAAAACAAACGAATGCAAAATAAAAACCCAACATAGGAGCAGCAAACGTACAGGCGTGAGGTACAGAAGTAAGGGCTGAACTGTATTTTGTTTATCTGCTTTTTTTTTTCATTTTTCTTGTATACAGTAGACCAGTAGAATTCTTGTGAAAATAGATCCCTAGCACTTCCTTGGATTATTGGTTGATGTGGCTTCCAGAAAGTGCCAGAAAGATTCCATAATAATAATAACAATAATAATAATAATAAACATAATTATAACAATAATAAAAAGATACAATATGATACATAAATATGGAAGAGCAGTTGGTACTATTTTTCTCTAGATGAGATCACAGTTTTATTTGTAAATACTACACACATATATATAATATTACACATATAATATTATATATATAGCATATATATATCTAATATGGCTCAATCCTGCTCCCATTGAAGTCAATAGCAAAAAAAACCTCTTGTTGGTGCTGATGGGAACAAGATCCAGCCTGACATGTACAGACAGGTAAGTGATTACAGAGGCCGTACAATGCAAACTCCACAATGGTTCCAATTCCTCCCTCTTGAATTGCTGGTGAAAAATGTCTCATTACAGCCCTGGTTCTTTGTACTCAGATGATCACAAATGGTGCCTGAATTGCGACCCCACGGATTGAAACAACAAAATCTGAACCAAAACCATTTTCAGAACTGAGTTCTTTTGGCTCAAGCACGACCTGCATGAGCTCCGCTTCCCCCACAAGGCCCGTACTGCACCTGCAGCACCAGGACTCACTCTCTCTGACTCTAGCCATGCTGAATCATGCACTTGAGCTTGGCCACAGAGGAAGCAATTAGATTTTAACTGACTCTGAGCTATAGAACGGGGCCAAAGTGAAAAATGGTTTGCTACAAAATATTGCAAAAATGAAAACAACATCCCCATCCTACTCACACTCTACTCCACTGGGGTTTGCAAACTGGTGTCACTGGTAGCAAGAGCAATCCATTAGCCTTTGCATTGCTCTCTATTGACCTCATGCACTGGAGCTCAGCGGCAGCACAGCTTGATAGTTCTGGGGCTGCTCTCAGCAAGCCCCGATCAAGCCTCCTTGGGCTCAAAGGTTAAACTCCATCAATGGGAACAGGCCTGGTCCGAGGAGGCTCAATCTCCCAGGTGAGTATTAAGAGTGCTGCTCAGCACCTTTTGGAAGGACTCAGAGCTTCACAGGACTGGACCCCTGAATGGTGTAAGGTGGAAGTAACTCAGCCAAAGTCAATGGAGTTACACCACTGAGATCAGAATCGGGCCCTGTACCTTGAAGTTGTCAACCGCTGCACCTGGCCTTCGCCCAGTGACAGGCCAAACACACACCTAATTCTCTTTGGAGTCGGTGGGAGTTTTGCAGGTGAGAACGCTGCGAGATGAGGACTTAAGGCAAGGATTCTCAAAGCAGCCTAAGGGCATTAGACACCAAACTCCCAGGATCTAATGCTCTTAGGAAATCCCAGCCTAAGTGTCAGTTTAACTCATTCACTCACCTCCTTGTTTTCTAATTTGGCCTCTAATGGAAATCAAGGGATGGAATCTTGGAAGCGGGGAAATGTTTAGTGCCCCTAATCCCAACTCACTGGAATTACCTGTCTGATCATTTAGCAGCTTTTCTTTTCTTTTTTTCTTTTTTTTTCTTTTGTCTCTTTCTCGCTCGCTCGCTGTCTTGTTGTTCTGAATTCAGACTGTGCAGTGATTTTGGAGTGCAGTAATTTGAGCACAGTGAAATACTGATTAAATGTATATGTACAGTTGGATAATGTAAAAAAAGCACAAATACACATGTTAAAAAAATCTGGAAGAAATAAATGCAATGACCCCACCCACCCCCACCCTCCAAAAACGATATACCAACCTCCCTCCCCCCCAAAAAAACAAATCAAACTAGCCTTATTTCTTGGACTTGACACAAAGCACAAGGAAAAAAAAAAAGACCAGCCCAAACCCTGACACCCGCCCCCCAACAACGCAATAAACACTTCACTGTATTTCTAGGGAAATCTACACATAAGTGTCTAACTTTCTACTCAGTTGGCAGAATAACACACAAAAATAGGTTTTGCTCTTCTCAGGTTTGGATCATGCATCTTTTTTTTCCTTTTTTTCCCCCTCCTCCTTCTCTTCTCTCTGTAACTCCCCCCCACACTTGAATCAGTTGCAGCAAGAAACCGTTTGTGTTTTAAATTTTTTTTAACACAGGTAAAACCTAGAACAAACCGACAGTTACAACCAAGTGAAACCAAAACCGGAAGGGAGGTAGCTGGAACCTGACTTTAAACGATCCTCTGGCAGAAGTCTCTTGTCCCAGCTTTGGTTGCAGGGCAGCATAATGTGCAAGAAAGCAGGGACACCAGCACAGTCCGGTTGGGGGTGGAGGGTAGCAGCTGATAAGGTTTTTTTCCACCCCCTGAACGCATGATTCACCACTTTCTGACCTAGCTCTCCCCCCTCCTAATCACGGAAGCTAGCAGCAGCAGGAGCCGAGCCTGGGCAAATCTTGTGCCCAGTGAGGATGAGCGACTATGATCCCACATCTTGGAACAAAGATGCACTTGCTAACCAGGCAGGGAAATGGGACCTGCACCAAGGGAGCAACTGCTATTGGGGGCTTTATCTCTTTCGTGCATTTGCTTGGTGGCTCACGTCCCTTTCTCCTGGTCTATTGCCCACTGAAGTCAATGGGTCTACACAGCAAAGTTATTTCGGGATACCAGAGGTATCCCGAAATAGCCACTCTGTGTCTTTTGAATGCGCCTGCTATATCGAAATATAGCGGATGTGCTATTTTGCCATCCCTGTAAACCTCATTCTACGAGGAGAGTAAGGGATGGCTCGAAATAGCACTTTATTTCAGAATTTGGTGCTGTGTAGACAGTGCCAAATGACGAAATAAACTACACAATTAGCATAGCGCAAATTGCGTATCTTATTTCGAGTTTCAGGTGCTGTGTAGATGCACCCTGGGAGCCCTTCCACCGGTGCTAGTGGGCACTGGATCAGACCCTGAAAGAATTACCCCCCTATAGGCCAAGGATTGGATTAATTTTTTCTTCCAAGCACAAAGGAGAGGGAGGCTGGTACAGGGCCCATGATCCTTTGAGGCCCCTTCACTTGCCCACCTACGCATAGAAGCAAGGCACAATGGGAGGCTTGTGTTCTGGGAGCGCAAGTGGGCAAAGCTGGGAATCAGCATCCCCATCATGAGTGTCCCACGGGAGCGCAAAGCAGCGTTAACATCCGCTCCTGGTGCTGAGTGCCACTGGAGGAGACGTATGGCCTAGGCAGGCCGGTGGGGTAAATAGCAGCATGGAGGCTCTGCCCTGGAGAGGAGATTGCCACTGTTGCCAGACTGGGGACTGCAGCACTGAAACTGTCATGTGAAGCTGGATGGGTGAGAGGCCACGCCTCCTTCCACACTAGCCTCTCCCCTCTAAAAAAAGACAGACAATCTTTGGGAGTAGCAGCTTGCTCTGTCTTCTCAGTATCGATCCATCTCTACGCCAAAGGGGCTCTTGTGGCCCTGAGGTCTCGGGCGCTCCCAGCTGTCTTTGGGGGGGGGTCTCTGCTAGGGAGCAGTCTAACGGGGGCGATTATATTCCTATAGTTGGGTATCTGCACCTGTGTCTCCAAACACAGACTAAAAACAGTACAGCTGCCCATGGCCTAGCAGGCCTTTGCTTTCTGGGTGGTGCAAAGAGACTCGGAGCTGAACTCCTGCCAATGTGCCCGGTGCGGAGGACACAAGCCAGTCGGCATGGAATGGGCATCTGGGGCTTGGAAGCTCTTTCGCTGGTGCCAGTAGAGGGGAGAGGCAACGCCACCGTCTCACAGGCACTGCCTTGTGGATAGCACCCTGAGATGTGAGAAAAAAGGCCCAGAGCTGCCAGGCGCTGGGGAGCTCTGGGAATAACTGCAATTCTCACTCAAGAGAAGCCCAAGAAACGCATTCTGAAATCACTCCTTTAGACTGCAGCCCTGTCCCTGTTCTACGGATCAGGCACCACCAGATTTATGACAAATTCCCTGCCTCATCCCTCCCGGCTTTGAATTATGGCAGGGGGCTCCCCTAGTGTAACTGATGTGGCTTTAATAGACTTAGGTCAGACATGTGTTTGGCCCTTTACCCTTGTAGCCTTAATCCTGACCCTGGTTTCTACAAGCCTCTTGATTTTCCATGTGGACGTGAGCCATTGCTGGAGAAGGGAGATACAGCCTCTGAAGAAGGGTGGGCACTGACAACAGCCAATGGACATAAGTTCTAGGGAGGGTCCCTAATGCCCCTACCTCAGTGAGTGCCACTGAGAGGCCCAAGGTGGGCAATGATCCGGGGTGGGGAGGAGCTTCTGGTGTCCCTGAATTTAGAGAGGCCACAGAATTCCTCTGTTGGCTTAAAATGGATTTGAGTCCCCTCCCCCATCTTCTCCAATTCCCTACCATCTGAAAACTCAGACAAGGGATTGCAGCCTATTGTAGAGTGTCCGCGGTCCCCCAGCCAGCTCGGTGCCCCGTGAATGTATTTAAATACGATGTCCAAGCTCTAAAATGCTGCTGAGATTCCCAGGTAAGGCTCCATCAGATCCACCTCTCAGCTGAGCCCTGCAGAAAGGGGAATTCACCCTTTCAGGGAGGTGTTCTTGTCAACAGCAGCCCTAAACTGCAGGATGCAAATCCAGCCCTTAGCGTGCGGACCTCAGGGATATGTTTGGAAAGGGTTGTAGCAGCAATGTCCGCATTGGCTCCATTGGGTAGCGTGCTGACTCAGTGAGATCTGAGCATCCTGAGAAGGCTGAACCCCAATTAAGAAACGACTAAGCAGCGGGTGGAAAGTACACCTTTCAGGACCAGAACTGGAGGTGGGAAGGAGGGGGCAGGTGGAAGGTCTGAGGGGAGCCTCTCTTAATGCCCTTCCTTTTGGCAGGTTCCAAGCAGCTCTGCTGTGAAGTCCCCATGTCGGCTGTCTCGCCCACGGGCCTCGCAATTTAATACTGACAAATCGGGTTCAAAGAACGCTAATACTGTCTCCAGCCATCCTTGCCACTTGTGCTTTTGCATGCTCTCCCTCCCCTTCCCCCGGCCTCTCCGAGACCAGCAGGAAGAGGCCGCACCTGTTCAGTGTAATATACACTCCTATCAAAGGCACCACTGGCCGGCTGGAGCTGAAGCAGCAAATCCCCGGGGCTGGCTGGTGTCCTGGTTTCTTGCCCCAGTGCTGAGGAGAAAACCAGAGGGTCTGAAAGACAGGTTGTAGGTAAGCTTTAAGGCAGACTGTTTGGTTGCTTGGGGTTGTTGTCACCCTGTCCTGACACAGTAAAGAAACTAGTTGTATGGGACATAGCAGCAGGAGTAGCAGCAGCAGACATGCTCGAACGACAAGTACGGGGGTTCGATTTACCCTCCCTATTCTCTCAGGAGCAATAATCTCCAATCCTCAATGCCAGCCTAACATGTGTATGCCAAGCCTCAGCCCAGCCACTCGCCCTTGCTTCGCCAAGGGACGGTCTGCCCAGCAGCGAATGGCTCGGCACGCTCACATGCGAGGGCTGCCATTTGCAGGCTGGACAGAGGCCAGCGGAGCTGTGCAGAAAAGCCCAGGGCAGCTTGCAAAGCACCTGGCCTGGGTGCCACATTTCCATGATAAGATAATGCAACCCACATTTCAGCCCCCAGGCGTGTGGAAAGACACTTGCCAAGATGCACAGACTCATCCTAACCTCAGTGCCCTGGGCATGGGGTACGTTGGCATTCAGCATCACTGTAGGCTTGGCCTGGTTTCTTCCGAGAGCCCAGCCTCTCCAAGCTTGCAAAGCACCTGGCCTGGGTGCCACATTTCCATGATAAGATAATGCAACCCACATTTCAGCCCCCAGGCGTGTGGAAAGACACTTGCCAAGATGCACAGACTCATCCTAACCTCAGTGCCCTGGGCATGGGGTACGTTGGCATTCAGCATCACTGTAGGCTTGGCCTGGTTTCTTCCGAGAGCCCAGCCTCTCCA